TTCGCCACGCACCCGCTCGACCTCGTGAAAGTGCGTATGCAGCTGCAAGGCGAGGTGGCATCCCCGCCTCTTGCCATGGCCCTCGCCGGAAGCCATGCTTCCTCCGGTAGCGTTCGACGACCTGGCCCACTGGGTGTGGGGTTGGAAGTGGCAAGGTCAGAAGGCGTGCAAGCCCTGTACTCGGGTGTCTCGGCCACGCTCTTGCGGCAAGCCATGTACTCCTCCACCCGAATGGGCCTCTACGAATTTCTGAAAACCCAGTGGAGAGACGAGACCCAGGAAGGCTCGGGGCTTCCTTTGCACAAGAAGGTGGCCGCAGCTTTGGTTTCCGGAGCCACCGGTGCCGCGGTGGGGAACCCCGCTGATCTGGCGATGGTGCGGATGCAGGCCGACTGGAGGCTGCCCGTTCACGAAAGGCGGAACTACACCTCCGTCGGAAACGCTCTGCTCCGGATGATGAAACAAGACGGCGTGCTGTCTCTGTGGACGGGCTCAGCCCCGACTGTGACCCGAGCAATGCTGGTGACTGCGGCGCAGCTGGCCACGTACGATCAGATCAAGGACACCATAGCCCAGAACCGCGTGGTGCCGGAGGGGCTGGCGACGCAGGTGGTGGCGAGCGTGGGAGCGGGAGTGCTGGCGTCCGTGGCGTCGAATCCCATCGACGTGGTGAAGACGAGAGTGATGAACATGAAAGTGGCCGCGGGCGAAGCTCCCCCCTACAAGGGCGCATTGGACTGTGCCGTCAAGACTGTGCGCTCGGAAGGGCCCATGGCTCTGTACAAGGGTTTCATTCCCACGGTGACTCGCCAGGGACCCTTCGCCATCGTCATGTTTCTGTCGTTGGAGCAGATCAAGCGCGTGCTGGAAGGTTGATATCCCGGACAATGACGACAACGCTTTTCAGTTTAGAATTCATGAAGCAATTTGAGGCAATTTTTTTTCCTCCACAGGGAGCAAGGGAACTCGTTGCGTTGGATCAAGGCACGATCAGCGAGAGAGAGAAAGGAAATAGGAACAATTTTTTGCAATCTCAACAACCAGTCCAGCATTCTAGCATCCTTCCTGGGTGGCGGCTCACAATTTTCCGTTTAGCTATAAGAGCTTGCGAGGCAGTGGGCGATAGAACCGTGGTCGAGACCATGTGCATCTTTTGACACAAATATACATATACGTGAAACTTGGAGAGGCCAAGATTGTTATTTGTGAAGTAATGAATATACGTTTCAATGAAGTGCAATTATTGCTCCTTTGGTTGCAACTTTAGCAAACTGTGCTATTTTATGTTGTAAGTTGGAAGTGTCATTTTTATTGTGTGCATGATTGCACAAAATAGATTTGGAATCAATGAATCAATCACTTTGCATGATATAATCATTGGAATGAGAATTTTTAGGAAATGGATGTTGTTTCAAATTATTTTTGCATATAAATGCAGAGTACCATAGGCATGTGCCATTTTCGTTATCTAGGTTGACATACGTTTTTTTGCTTCATTTTAGACTCTTGTTGACTATTCGGATGGTGGATGTTGCTTTAAAACTTCAGCAATGTCTTTGCATTGAGTAGAAAATTGAGTAGAGGTTTTCGCTGTGAAACCAGGTTTGGTCTTGAAGCAACAGTATATTGTCACAATGTCAACAATATCACATTTAGCAGTTGTGCTAATATTTAGCGATGGGGGAGAAAGGAGCAGAAGAATTGTTATGACGGAGTCATTAGATCCAGCGGTAGTAAGAAAGTGGGTGTTGGTTTTAGAGAGATGCAGAAATCTGGTCTGGTATTCCTGCAGATGCTGGTTGAAGAAGTGGCTGGAACTCGTCACGTGTCTCAAACTGAATAATAGTATGGGAGATTCTTGTGAAAATTCATTGGCTGCAGCATCACCGATGTGTACTTAAACTGGCGTGAAGGGTGTTATGAGATCAGTTGGACGCTGAAGCGACAACTTTAGGGGTGTTGGAAAGAAGAAAAAAATCGCAGATCTTCAGCATCCAGAAAGGGCAATGTGGAGAGGCATAGACCGAAGTTTCTTGTCATATTATGTATGATGAAAGTGCTAGTTCTGTGAAGCTCCACAACCCTTGCGCCTTTTAGCGACTATGTGGGTTGAGAAGAGTTTGAGCACAATTCCGGTTCAAATGGGAGTCGGAGGCGAGTAAGTCTTTCAGTGCCGTAGTTGCACAGGAGGAGGTTGTTGAATCTGAGACAGAGTAAACGACAGCTTGGGTCAGGAAGTCTCTACACCATCGGAGAGAGAAGGTGGATGCAGAACCAAATACAAAAGAGGATCAAAATGTGGAAGAACAAGTCCCAATGAAATCTACAAATAATGACGAGATATCAAACCAGGAGCCTGTTTGCGCCTCTCCTGAAGAAGAAACTCCAATTACCGAGTCAAAGAACGCGGAAATTTGGAAGGACTCTGATAACACTATGCAATCTAGTATCAGTCGAACTAGAGCGGAACAAGCTGAAGCTGAGTTAGATGCTGTACACCAGGCATAAAGATAGTGATGGTGGACTGAGGAGAACATGATGTTTATTTGAACCAACTGAGCACGACGACGTTGTGAAGAGCATGAATGATATGGGAGACTGGTTAGACGAGGCAGGTCAACATGCGGAGGGCGGCGCAATGGTAGACACTCTCGCCGAAAAATTACAGTGCACAAGGTAGGAAGAGTAGATCCGAACCGGTGCAGACAGCACACTGGGCAACGAATCTCTACCGATTGCAGTTATCTACACTAATCAAAATCGCCTCTGTCTCATCACATCGCATGTTGGAAACAAGTTTTTGATACTGGAGGCCCGATTTTACGGTCTCCTTCAAAAAGAAGTCAGTTGGTTTTCGTGGTTATTATGATTCATGACTACACTGTTTTTTTATCAAAATGTGCCTGCAGAGTAATGGTTCTTAAATCAATGTCGTTAAAAAAATTACAAATCTTGAAATCGCTTCGTTCACATTTGGGCAATCTTCCGTAGTGTACATAATTCGAAAGTGATCAAATTTGTTGATTCCATTACCAGCCTGCACCTATGCGTATTTTACTGTTTCGCCACTGAGGTCACACAAGTGCAAAAGTATGCTTGGTTCGGCTTCTCAATTGAGGAGATATCTGGTTTCAATAACTTGAATTAAATGAAGTTTCAAGTCGTTTTAGATTGATCACATATTCTAAGCGACGGTTTTTCTGCAGCAGTAGATGACTTGCACCAATAATCTGTTGTCCACAAAGGTTTAGGGACTTCAATTGTTTAACCGAATCTAAAAAGATGACCAATACCTGGTGGGCACCCACGCAAGTAAGTTAGAAGTAAGGATCAAGAGCTTCAATTCACAAAAATAAATTTCGTAGGACGTTCCAACTTCGAAAATCCGCATCAATTTCACTCTTAGTTCATTAATGCCCAAGCTCAAGTACATACAATCCGGATAACGTGAGACAACTAGATGAAAATGCCTAGTGAGTTGCAACAGCAGCATCAATGAAAGCCCTTCCAGCAGTGCGGTTGCCCAAAGGTCCGTGGCATCCAAGAAGCTGCAGCGAAGGCAAAACAAATGTAAGTTGTTTACACAAAAACGAGATTGGTATCTACTCAAAAATGAAGTGGATGAAATAAAGCCATTTGAAGACCGATAACAACTAAACATGTTTAGTACAAATTGTTTACACAGCCGAAAAAGGACAAAGCTGGCAACTTGGGCCTTCGTACTCGTCACCATGTGAATTACCTTGGCAGTGACACCATCGTTGACCAGACGGTTTTCTTCCTTCCATTTGACGTAATCGACCCTAGCAAACTTGGTGAATCCCCTGTAGGCATGAAACAAGTTGACAGGAGTGTCAAACTAAACTATATTCGATTACGCAGAAAAAATATACACGCCTAATTCCTCCATACGATTTTACTAAATACATTGAGGATAAAATAAAAAGTGACATGTCGACGCTATTCTAGCCGAAATAGACGCGTGGCAGTATAACACAAAGACTGAGCATATACTCCCACAAAAAATGTGGCGATCTACAAAAAGCACCAGGCCTGCATGCATTAGGTTACAGTCAAGCATTAAACTCACCACTTTCTGCTGACGATGATCTTTTGGCGACCAGGGAATTTGAACTTGGCACGACGAAGCGCCTCCTGTGCGTGAACACCGTTCTGGTCCTTGCAACGAACGGAGAGTAGAACCTGCCCAATGGCCACACGGGCGCACACACCCTGAGGCTTGCCGAAGGCTCCCCTCATACCTGTCTGAAGCCTATCGGCTCCGGCACATGAAAGCATCTTGTTGATACGAAGCACGTGGAAGGGGTGCACACGCACGCGCAGGTGGAAGGCATCCTTTCCGGCATACTTGGTCATGTACTTGTTGCAGGCAATACGAGCAGCCTCGAGCGCCTCACTGGACACATTCTCCTTTTCCCAGGAGACCAAGTGCACACAGTAGGGAAATTCATCGACTCCTTTCTTCTTCATACCCACATCGTAGATACGAATTTTAGGGTCTGGCACACCCCGGCAGAACCGAGACTTGGGGTATGGCTTGTTCTTAATCTGCCTATAGCATCTAGCCGGACCTGCAAGCCACCAAATACCATCATATCAACATCCATGACCCAACAAAACCCAGACCTAACGAAAATTCAATAGTCAACACAAGTAAATCCGAAGCTTAAACCACACCGACAAGCCGCAACTTTCGCATCAAAACCCTAAAAAATGGAAGCCCAAATTTACTGCAAGAGACATAGAAGCATGAACCAGAAGAGCCCTGGACAACTTAAAATGAGTAGAAGAGGTTGAATTTAAAATGAATGAAGACATAAATCAACAGAGTAGCTCCAAGAGGTGAAAGAAAGAACAATATTACACACGGAGAGGAACAGCAGCAAGAGCAGCGACAGAACCAAGCGAAAGGACGATTTAGATAATGAGAGGTTAGAGAGCATACGGCGACCCATTGTGACAAATGTGATACGAGCGCTCAGCTCAGCGAGACGTCGACGGAGACGCCAAAATGGGAATCACGAGCTTGCTTCCTATACTTTGGAGTGACAATTCCTTCTTCTTCTTCTCCCGTGCGTCCTTGTCCCTCTCCCCTAAAACCCTAATCCACTAGACCCGCGATCCGGCACCCGTCCTTTCATAGGGGTGCCCCGTGATTTTCTCACACCCCCCCCCCCGTATTTGCATTCTTAAAATTTGTCCCTCATTAAGTGGGTGCTCCAAGGTTTAATAATATTTATCCAAGGGTGATCATACTGATTTGTTTGAGGCTTAAATTGAAGAGTTTAAAGTGTTTCAAAGGTTAATGTTTGTAAGGATTTTGAATTACTGTGGTATTATCTCCAAAGAACAAATTCCAATATATGTTTATATATTTTTATTCTTATTTTTAAAATTCATGAGAATAAAATCAAAAAATAAATAAAAATGAAAATAAAATACTGAAAATGGTTTCTTATTACTGCATAATTACTATTTTTGTATGTGTGTGTATATATATATATATAAATATATACATATTCACTCAATTCTATCCAGAAGAGAAAAAAGAAGAAGAAAAAGGAAAAATTATGAGTATCAATTAGTTATGTTTGTATCATCATCTTCCAAAAACACATTTTTTAATCATTAAGAAAAAAAATCCTATGAACCACAAGAATGTCTCATAGTGCAATGGACATGATTACTTATCTCTAGAGTAGTAGCTTATTCAAATAAATGAATCATTTCTTTCTCAGTAAAATGATTCAGCTCATTTATTTATATATATATATATATATATAACATCTTAAATGTTGTGTAATATCTTTGCTTTCAAACTGGTCAATTTTTTCAACCACCTCTTCTAAAATTCTATTTGCCATACCCACTTTGCAATCTTTATTCTATTGTTGTTGCATAAATATTGCAAATACCTTAAACATACTTGCAGAATTAGGATTAAAATATATACATTGCCATTCAAAAGAACCTCTACTTTTAAAGTTACTTCCAATTCTATTTAAAGCTCTAATTGAACCTCGATTTATAACTCAATCTTCAACTTTCTTGTCTTTTTTTGCTATAATTAAAACAAACAAATAAATAAATGAAAATACATTCTACTTGAAGCTTCTCATGTTGGGTTCATTAAATATATTGTATTATGTATTGTCTTGCTTGAAAATGCACCACACACTTGGTTGTAGAAGGTGTACTTGTATTTTGTAACAAAAAAGAATTTAACAATTTTAATAAATTTCTAAACAAATCCCAAATGAACCATAACAATCCTCATTAAACCTTATTTAAATTCTAAAGAGATTTTAAAAAAAAATCCTCGAAAATAATCATAAAAAATCCTTAATGTTTTTATAAAAATATTTTAACAAAATTTTAAATAAATCATAATCAAACCTTAGGTAAATCCTAAAAAATCCTAAAAAATCCTAAATAAATTTTAATAAATTCTAATATAATCTTATATAAATCTTTAAAATCTTAATGAAATCTTAATGATACTATGATCAAATCTTAAATATATCCTAATCAAATCCTAACTAATTTCTACAGCAATCTAAAAACTTTAATAATTATAAATTAAATGGCTGGTCTTTCTTTAAAATATGCATCCATTTCAATCTACAAGCTAATAGCAAGCACACAAATTTTAAGAAAAATCAAATTTACCAAGTAGATTGAAAAGCTCCTAATTTTCTCAAGTATTGATTTTTTTGCTATTTTAACCTAAATATTATTCTACTAGCACTGATAGCTCTTTATTAAATTGATTACTAGACTTCAAAATTTGCAAAAATATTGTAAACCAAGTTCACTAAATATTTATAAAAACTTGTTTTAATCCAACTAGCATATTGCTTAAGTTCAAAGAAACTCACATTCACCTTTAAAATCCAAATTCTAAGATTCTATTCCAATTAAATTTTAATTACCTTTGATCCTACCATTTGATTTAGTTCAGATTCACATCACATTTAATACATCAACTTTCACAAACTCTCAAATTTTCATCCTTAAATTTGCCACATAATTCACAAATTTTATCATAGTGTAAACCTTTTTTGAATTCAATATAAAATATTGTAACTCAAAACAATTCCAACTTTGTAAAGCTCTCACAAAGTCAATATAAATTCAAAGCACTCAAACCAATGCTCATAAAAACCTTATTAGGTTTTTTCTCAAACAACACACTTTAATCAATTAAAAAAACAATTCATCTGCCATAAGCATGTAGTTTTGTGCCTCAAGATTCAATCCTAGTTCATAATCAAATCTTCTATATAGGTATTGATCTAAGGATTGTCTAAGTAATTTTAATTGATTGCTACTCTTTACTTCTACCTAAATATTCCTATGATACTATTTTTGCTGATATTTCTTATTTTACTTTGTTTATGGCTCTACAAAATAAATAGAAGCAAAAGAAGTATGAACTTTGACTATAGATAGGATGACACAAAGTCAAGACCCTTCCTTAAAGTCTTATCTTGGAATGTGAGAAAGTGTATATAAATTTAATGACTTATAAGAGCAATTTGAACATCTATTGAATTTGTCTTTAAATATTACAACCATAGAATAGAATCTTTTTACTTTTTAAGGTACATTGGCCATGAGTTTAATTCCATCACTTTATGATACCATATATATTTAGAATTATATTGTACAAGAGTATTGAGTAATAATAAAAAAGATTATCTAAATACAAGAAATTTGTATTATTAATGTCAAATATAGAATTGTCATATTTTGTCTTGACTTTCACTTCATAGAAACAAAACAATAAAAAAAACTTGAATATTTTTATTGATTTATTTTAAATAGAGTGAAAAGATTTTTTTTTTTTAAAAAAAAAAGAGTTATTAAACTGAGTTGCAAATTCCATCATTGTTATTTTAAATGCCACTCTTCTTTATGCATTAATCAAACCTTCATTACCAATATCAATGCTCTATTGCTTTAAAATATATGAAGTGTAGAATACATAACTATTTAATCAATTTTTTGACTTAGAGTTATTAAATAAATAAGCAAATATTATAAATAAAAATATTTATATATAAATACAACCTCAACATTGTAAAGAAATATACATCATATTGTTTCTTTTTTTTTTAAAATTAGTTTGAGGAGAATATTAAATTGATCCCTAATTTTATTAAATTAATCTACCTATCAAAACCAACATTCTATGCTCTTGTCCTATGTCCTTGTTTCTCTCATTCCTAATCCCTGTCCCCATTTTCCTTGTTCTTAATCTCCCATCTCTTGTCCATGTTTCTAGTCCCCATGTGTCATCTCCGCTTCCTTTATTTCCAATCCTCCATCTCTTGTTCTTATTTCTAGCCCTCCACTCTCGTCTCTATTTTCATCCCTTGTTCTTGTTCCCTATCTCAAGTAAGTAAGTTGACTTCAAAAAAATAAACAAATATTTAAGATTATGAAGAAATAAATCTTGTAGTTTAATAGTGAATAACTCATTGTTGTGAACAGATTAGAGTATTCCTCAATAAGTTGTGCAAGAGAGATTTGCTAAGATGTTATGCATAAATAGAGATAAATTTTAATTGTCAAAATATTTTGCTTGCATCTTGTTGTCAATTATATCTAATATTTTATCAAAGTATTTCTAAATATCATAAAACCTAAGAAAATTTCATTTAATATTCAGATTTATGAAAGTCACAAAAGAATTAACAAACATAAAATTATTGTTGACCAGTGATTTTTCAAACCTATTTCAACTAGGAATAAATTCTATATATTTATAAAATCAAATATGATTTGGTATGTTTTATAATAATTCTTTAAGTTTCATATGTAATTTCTCTCTCTCATTTGTGACATGAATAGACAAGCTAGTATTTCTTAAAGACACTTTTAGTGCTCTTCTGCAAGTTTATTGTATTTTAAATATTCGAAATACCTTGCATTAGGTTGCATAGTCTAAGTAATACATTTTGTTTTATTCATATTTGGCTCTTTTGTGATTTTAAATAAATATTTTGTCTATTATAAATTATTTTTTAGTAAATCTTATAGGTGATACATAAACCATTGAAAAACTTCATTTTTTTGTTTTTAACAAAATAAAAATAAAAAATAAAAATATCATAATATACTTTTTTTTCAATGGTTTAATTTTGCTGCAATTAGAATCTTAAATTATTTTTTATTAAAATAACATAGAGAATGTAAAACAAATGGCTTGCATATAAGAAGAGTGATTACTTAAGTCATTAATTATTAGCTTTTTAATGTAGAAGAGTGGCCAAAACAAAATAAATAAATAAAAAAGACTAGAAATGGGGACAAGGAACATGGAGCTAGGAATTGGAGGAATGGAAGGAATAAAGATAATTGGGACGAAGGTTAGAAACAAGCACAACTTTAATTGTTCAAAACTTGGCAAATGTTGGAATTTGAGTAAAACCTAGGTGTGTTATTAGGTGCTCTACATTTGTTTTTTTACATTTAGTACTTAAAAGAGTTTGTATTATTGATTGTATTGTTGACACAATCTCAGGACCATGACAAAAACAATACACCAACTTTGCAGTGATGATCATACTCTAATACAAATATTTGTAGATACTAAAGCTTTGAATGTGAACAAGGATGGGAGATGAGGGACGAGAGATGGGAACAAGGGAGGGGTGCTGGGAATGGAGATGGGGGACTATGACATGGGGTATAATGATGGTTTTGATAGATGGATCAATTTGATAAAAGCAGGGGTCAATTTAACATACTCTTAGTTTTTGTCTTTGTTCAGTTTTACAAACTCATAGGAATCGAAGCATTTCCATCTCAATCATGTTGAATAACCAGATTAGTAACGGTGCAGAACAGGTTTAGGGTTAGCATTTCAAACGTTTTCACAATGTTCAATCATTTCAATCGTATAAGACTAGACCTCCCTCTGCCGAGACGTTATCATATGTTTGTCTGTTTTTGATTGTTGATGTGTGTCTGGGAATAGGGACGAAGTGTTGCAGTTGCGATGGTCTCCGGTGAAGTCGGACCAGGGGTTCCGGATCTGTATTGCGGTGGTGGTAGAGGCAGCTGCTGCAACTGCCCCCACTATCAGCATCTGCTACGGGCGAG